AATGTTTAACACGTTTGATGTCGCTTACTTAATTCGTTATTCCCTCGGCCGGTTAACATTGACCATCGCGTCGGTAGTCGCCGGCAAGCAAACAGCTTGTTCGTTTGATGGAAACTCCATTGAAGATTGGCTCTGAACTAGGGTGTCTTCAGAGTCAAGGACAAAAAATACAATTAGCCAATACACGAGATTTGCTACGCTTATAAAAAATGGTGCGGTTCAAAGGCAGGTCGTTCTAGCTGATCGCGTTAAGACAGCACGTTCATCCACTATATTTAGCCGCACTACCTGAGGATGCCGTAGTAAATTTCGTGACAGAATTAATGACCTCTTGCAGATTTTACGTGGCGCATGGTAACTTCCTGTTAGATACCTGCTTATCTGATTTCATCGTCGTGGTGACGTAGTTACAACTATGGGATACGAAACAGAGACAATACGACTTTAGTCAGCGTACTGTCTTCTATTACAAGTCTGCCACCAGCAATCAAACCTTTGTTTTAAAGCCAAGTCTGATACTTGCCTTCTCTGCTTTTTTCCTCATTATTGTCAAATGCTAATTAATATCGATAAATCTGTTTGTCGGCGCGCATTGATAGTCGACAAGGTATCGCAAAGTAGACAAGGTATTTTCCATCTATCTCTTTATTCATTGACTTAATGGAGCTCCGCTCCAACGGAATTCTCCATTCTCTCGCCATTGGCGTGGGGTATTCCAAAACCCTTGCAGTGGCAACGTCACTGGCAAATATGACCTGCTTCTTAAACGATTAGCGAAGTCGAGCGCACGTTCACTCCCTAGCTATAGGTCAACTTCTCTTGAACGTCGATGCACTCGAACAAGGGCATCCCTTTTCGAATGCCCACATTATTAGTATGGAACAAACGCAAACTGGTCACCTCACTCCTGCGATGACTATAAAAGCACGCTCTGCTCGAACCTTATAACAAAACATGCACTTGTTTTGGATAGCGCATGCATTACCGTTCCTCACACCACCACATTTACACTAGACACGGTTATTTAAGTCATACGTTTTGATGTTATCTGACGGTCCTAATACATTCAAAAGGCTACCAGAAGATGGTCCGATTTAGACTGAATCACTCGAACTTCGGGTCGTACCATTCGGCTCAATACATTGTCTTTTCCTGTCCTAGGGTAATTGTCCATTTTCCAGTCGACCGTTCTCGCTTAGAGCAGACGATAATCACTCCGATACGCAAGATAATCGTTTAGCAGCCATTAACTGTTTATCAGCTTTAATGACTAACAGCCTATTCTAGTGAAAACATCTCACGGCATTGAGACTGTGTAGTGTCTGGTAGAACTAATTGACCTTCTCAATAGAAGCTATCCAACGCATCATTTTCTGTATAACGTAATCAAGGGTGGACGTACAAGAATGAACGCCAATGAACTTTCTTTGCACGCTAACCTAATTCTACGTGCTGCTTAACCGCACTAACGGTTATAGTTATAGGGAAGGCCCTAAGAAGCGATTTGCACGAATACACCATAAGGTCGAAGCACGCAAAAGGAAAGGATTTCTAATATTGCTAAGCTTGCTGCTGGCCCTTTCCTCCTATCCCTGATACGATATAATCTTGGTTCAATTGTGTTCGATTTACCCGTATACTGACGTACATTGACACTGCCGGTATATGCGACCGATATCAAACCCCCGATATTTGTAGATCACGAAAGACCGAGCAAAAGGTAGTAGATGAGAAAGCAACTAAAGGAGGAAAAGGCAGTAAAGTACCTCTTGATTATTCACTTCGTGAAGTTGGATTTGAAAGGAATTATCATTTTCGGGACATAAACCATTAGACTACGTTACATTAGATTACGCTTTTTTTAAAAGTGACGGGCAATATATATATGTATATATATATATATATTATATGTATATATTAGACCTATCTTCAAATATTCATAATTTATGGTTAGAATGGTCAGAAAAATATTAATTCATAATTATGTACATCTTAATTTAGCAAGTTTCTATTAAAAAAATTGTCTTATACGTAAATCATTTTCAAATTCAGTTAATTTTCAAATTCAGATCTGTGACTGCTCCCTCTATTAATGTAACATAACAATTACCTTAAATACGATAACATAGTTCGAAAGTCATAATAGCAATAATTTCGCCGTTTCTCTTTATATTATAATCGTGTATGCGACAATAATCATGCAATAGAGAGGTAGATTTGACTTAGCAATAACAGTACTTCTTCTGAAGAGAGACGGTTCAGTTGCCTAGCTCGCTTAATTGATGCCCTAACTACCTAACCTAACCTAACTACTGTTCTACTTGTACGGTAGCACAGTTTGTGCAGAGTCAATTGCAAGACTGACACGCAGAGTACCTTCTATAATAAAAAAATATGCATTTTGATTAAATATATTATTAGAAACACCCAGAAAAAAAACTAGCTTCGTTTACTACTCTAGATTTAATTACAATCTACGTTGATTCGGTCAGTGCGTATTTTCGTAGCTCTGCCCTCGCGGATAGTTTGACCGTATGTTATTAATTGGATACGCTGAGTAGGGCAAGTTCATCTGTGAATTCAGCGATGAGTTAACACGCAACGAAAAGATTACAGTCGATCTTACGACTTCAATACGTTGTAGCCTATTAACTATTCAGCCTTCTAGCGATCGGGCATTTCAATTAGAGTTAGAATTAGAGAGAATAAAGTTAAAATCTTCTTATCCAAGAATCAGCCATGAGTCATATAATAATACAGACAGGGTAACGAGATCTCCCACTTTGCATAGTGTCTTCTACTACGCTACAATTCTTCTATTACGCTACTATTTATTAACAAAAACCTTTAAGATATTTTTAGCGTATATACGTGCAAGCTTTGATTCTCCGCGACATATTTTTAGAAAACAAGTGCTCTAAAAAAAGACTTCTCTTTCACTTCAGTTATACGTCGTGAGTCTTCATCTGTATGAATTCCACTGTAAATATTAAAGTCCTTTTCTGCGTTTCTACAAATTCATCTATTGTAATCGACATTGGCATGCAAAGTAACAGAAAGGCATCACCTCCGATTAAAACAATCGCAAATGAACCCGACCGCGGTCCATTTCCTACAATGACTTATAACCTACGAAAGAAATTCATGAAAGAGGAAAAATAGAATACCGGCGAACTAAGTTATCCTTTTATATAGTCTTGAGATAAAATGCCAAACCTGGTATAGTACACTCACAGGCACTATACTCTCACTGTCTTCCTATTGGGTACCAGTGGGAAAAAATCTGTCTTCCTGCCCGCCTGACAGGAAGACAGATTTTTTTTTACGGATTCCTGGAGAAAAAACCTCCGACGAAATTTGTTGAAAAATAAGATACGTGCTTATAGAAAATGTTGCGGATGTGCACGTTTCTTAAAAAGGCGCTGCTTAAAGCAAAGCTTTTTCCATACTCGTAGATTGAAATACAAGGTATGTCGCATATTCAGTGTTAAGCGGAAACGGCCAGGTAATCATGCTCGTTTTCACTCTGTTGAATATTTGGCTGTTGAAGATTGGCATTGCTGAGCTTCAGTCAATGATTATTCACGATAGTACTCTACGCGTACGACCATTGCGCCAGTTTCATTAATGCGCAACGTTGACTTAACGATTAAGAATGTTACCGTTGCTTTGCTACTTGTGCGAAGACCGGCGGAATATGACGCTGGATCCATCGTGTTGAGGATACTTTTTACCATCGATTTGCTCCATAAAGGCCTAAATCTGTTTCTATACAATGTAGCTATGCTATTTTTAGGACAATGGATCGTCCTTAAAGATATGTCCTTAAATTGTCGCCAGTATTGCGATTATCTATGCAGGCAGGTGTTCAAAACCCACTAAACCCTGCACCATTTCGCAGATCGGGTCGTTGGTATGGAGCTTAGTTTAGTATCACTTAGAGGCCAAGAATGGTCAACTTACTATTATTTCATTAGTCGCGTCCCAGCTTGCGTATTTTTGCCTACTATAATAATGATTCTCGCCAAGAATAACTACTGTTTGGGCAAGGAGACAAGTGGTGTTTTCCTCTCAAGGGTTAAACTCATTATAATGTAAGCTTAAGAAACTCTAGGATGCTGACGACAAACGTGTCCTTTACCTCGTTCTCTGCCATGCATTTAAAGGACAGTTGAAAGTGATGTACGAAGCCGTTATCATTTAGAGGTATTGAAAAAATAACATTTGCTTCAACTTTAAATTAGATTAGTTTCGATATATTCTATGTTAGAAGTTGATTTAATCAGTAATAACTCCCCGTAAAATTTTAGCATATGCATCTTGTAGATTAATTGCTTACAATATGGCATTATAGGGGAACAGTTCCTACAATTTTGCCAAATCAGTGATATAGTAACATTTATGACTACTGATTATTTCTCAGTATACCGGAAACCGTCGTAGTAGCGCAGTGATGTTATAACGCATGCGCAGGTTCAAGCACGATTATAATACAATGGAGCAATTCATGTACATATGGTCACCAAAAAAAATTATGCTTCTACGGTTCTACAGTTCCGTTAATTGGTAGACTATCTCCCTGCTGCTAGAATTCAATCCGAACTATTCCACAAGGACGTAGATCTTAGCTCGTAGCAGATGGCCTGGTTAAAAGTACCGAAGGTCGGGTTATAACCATTGAAAGCCCAGGAAAGATGTTCAAGCTAAAAAGCATTGTCTAAAACATGCAAGTAAAATATTGCGAAGCCCACTGTTTTTTTTAAGCGTATCAGCTTATTTGAAAATATATATATATATATATATATATATATATACTGGCGAAGCTATGACTATTCGAAATGAATATATGTTTACAACTAGGTAATGCAAATCGTAGAATCTAAGAAAACAACTATTTATTTCTGCTAACACACATTTCTATGGGGCAAGAGTTATCCTTATTCAATAGTCACCCAACCTTGTGAGAACGATCACGCAACAGCATCTAAATTATCGCCAGTGACTAAAAGGCAAGCATTGACAACTCTCACCAACGAAGTGTATGTGATATTATAAATATGAGCACTGAACCACACTTCTACTTGGCAGATTTTTCCGTGCTACCCTTATACCGACAGTTAAGAAAACATCCAGATCGTAGTGAGAAACGTCATTCCTTCCTCCGTCACACTTTGTTTATGGCCAAATGGTGATATCGCTAGCCATCTATGAGCCGTCCTGAAAGTTTAAATGGAGCCAAGTGATCTTACTGGAAGGTAGTTGATTGGTTCCTGAAAATGTCTTTAGCCGCAAATTGAATTTTGCTCAAAGAGACAGCGATAAAACTTTGACGTTCAGTACTTTAAGCGCAATTTTTTTAGGTCAAAACCTTAGCATCTTGACACTAAGGACAAGATCCTTAGATTTGTTACTTGCATAATTTTATGCGATGCGGCATTTTTTTTTACAAGCTACGTAGCACACACCCATGTTCTCCTTCACCCATTCATGACGCCATTATTGCGAATTACGCCTCGCCAAAAGCCTATTACGAATTTCAACGGCCTGGTTCTGTATGTTCTATTCAACATGCCATGGTGAGGATTCGGAGCTAATTTCTACGACTGAATTATACCACAAGCGTAAACGTAAATAGCACGAAGGGTTCAGGGAAGCCAAGTAAATATACATATCTCATTGCAAGCAAAATAACTTCATCTTAAGCAAATATAAATGAACAGTGAGTGAACTTAATTTTAGACATTGCTAAGTCTTTCTGAGTTCCGCATTGCAGTCAAGACGATAGATCTAACTACCTATTTTTCATCCAGTAAACATATCTTATACCTTGAAAGTTAAGTTCCGATCATGATCCTCTTTTCTCGGCGAGGTTCCCGTTACTATCCAATAATCATCTTATCCGCACGATTGTCGTCTATGACGAGGGTGCATTATGTCAATAAGGTGTGGAAGGCGACATTGAGAAAAATAAACACCACTACAATATTAAGAAATTTTCTTAGGGAGAAAACATTGAACATTTTAAAAACGTGCGCAGGTCCTACTTAACTTCCTTTTGGGGGGCATTATTTTAATCGAACAAGCGGAAACCTCAATCCCCTTCAACAACTATAGCCGAAGCGTTCTACAAATTAAGAATAGAAACTACTTAATAAGCGGCACTCGAATCAAATGGAAGCTCGGTGCAGAGCTACAGTCATACATAACTCTTTTTGTCAACCCTTTATCTCATTTGACAACGTCGTTGCCATACACGAATCAGCCAAAACCTGCTCATACACTCACAAAGATACTCAACAGGACCATAAATAATAGCGTTTCGAAATTATTTGACACTCATCGCTCTTTAGTTTGTGAGAATATATCTATACCTGCTACTCAAGGTGCTTCAGGTCGTACTAGGAGCCAGCCAGCCGTCTGATCGAATGGCTAACAGCGATACCGATCGTAAAACTCAGAACATATAGGTTACTCAGGGCGATATTTAACTCGCTGATATTTAACCTTCTACTCATTTCCGAAGTGCAATTAGCAGGTCTTCTTTTATTCACACTATTTATACTATTATATATACATAATATGCATCAGTGTACTACGACTACTCTATCGGCTGTTGACCTCGCCAAGCCGGCATCAGACATTCAAGACGGTTCCGGTCGTAGTGATACCATGAGAAGCTTCTCCAGGCATTAACAGGTTCTATATTTTTTTTTGCCCAAACCCAGAAACGAGGTTATTTATATGGCAACTGCTCGTTATGTGAGCGTAAGTCTTGCAGTGGTTTTTTGATCCATTTATTTGGAAGCGCTAAATTCCATTACTGTTAATTCAGCTGAAATTGCTGAAATTCGAAACACAGATTAGCGACAAACCAGCGTTTGACCTTTACTGACCCCTGAGCCGTGAGGACGAGTCAAACTTTTCATTAAATATACTCTTCTTTAGGGAACGGACCCTGTGAGGCCACTTGAATTCGTTCCAAATTGACTGATTAGAGTAATACGGGAAAATTCAGAAATTTGCTGTAGTATGTTTTTTTTTTTTATAAAAGCTTTCATCTTACAACACAGAATGTAAATTTTATATATTTTAAAATAGTTTTGTTGTAATTAGTTCATATATAAAAGGCACATCTAAAAAGCGGCTTAATTTCCTTACTGCTCATATTTTTCATATGTCTAAATAAGCACATACAATTATGTAGTAAACAGAAATATGTAAATGGTTGTTTTTGCTGTTGTTTTCTATACAGCTCAAACTACCCAACTGGATTCTTGGGTTTACCCCTGTACCTTGCCCAATGGGTTTACTGGAGAAAAAGAAATAAACGAGGACTTTAAGAGAGAGTCCTAATTTATTTGTTCTAGAATCCTCAGCAGCTAATTATCTAGTTTTCTATTTTGTAATTAATGCAACACCGGATACGTAAACCACCGTACCCTTTACAATATTCTCAACGTATGCATAACCCTACCGCCTACAATTTAAGTACTCCACAATCCCTTGAGCTTCTATAAACCTATTAGTCACATCAGATGGCACGAAATTGATTAGATTCACTCTGCGCTTTCTGGAGCCTATTGTAGTAGCCCGAAACAGTCGTTATCCGCTCTAAATGTAAAAATTTTGTCTTTGAATCAGTTTTTGTCTGTCAACTCCTGAACATCCAGACGTTAATCTTTCTTCCGCGATATCATTATCTTTCTGTGGACCGCGTACTTGCATATTTAAAAATAATTCATACTGAAGGTATGCTCAGCTAAAGCTGGACTATATAATCAGTTGTTTTTTTACATAGATTGTTTTTTAACATCGGTTTCGGCTGATATACGGGCTCGTTGCAAACTGTTCTAAACATTTCTTGGCCACCAGAGGTTTTTGACTCTAACAAACTCATATACAATATGATGCCTACACTTAAATCTGTGACCAACTTTCCCAGCTATTGCCGTAAAAGTTAATTTTCCAAATGCTCCGGGGTTTTACAAGTGGCAACCAGTCGTAAGATCCGCCTGTTTGACGTTGTACAGCGAAATATTTCTATTCCAAATGTCCGAATTCAATAGATAGATTCTGACAAAGGCTAATGGATCCTTATAAATTTAGTAAAATAATATCCCAGAAACTCAACCATCATGTCAGGTTGAATAGTCGCCCAAATAAAAACGACACGTACGCTATTAAATAGCAAACACAATATGCTCAATTTTCTACTAAACAAGCTTCTTTTCTTAGGGTTAATGCAGTAATTTCCCATGATATGCCTTCACTCATATATAAAATGGCCAGAATAAGGTGAAGCAAACAGCAACAAACTAGTTAATCTAGTCGTGACCCCCATACATAGTCTTCATCCATCACGCAAAAGCGGCACGTCGGATTGAAAAGGAATAACGTAAGCGGCCGGGAGAGTGGAAAAGAATGCACTAGGCCAAATTAGACTAATCCGTTTAGATGACGTTCATTTGCAAGCTATTTTTGACGGAAATGAAATTCAAGCACCTGCCTGCCTGCCTGCCACCTCCTTTCTTTGTCATGCTTTCTTTTTTTATAACAGACAGACCATAACTGTCTCGTCAGGTAAAAAACGGGCCTACACTATTGAAAAATTCACCAACATTTCCGCCCATAGTTCACACTGTCGTTAATAAGATCACCATACCTTCCATCCAAGGCGTCCATAAATTGTGTCAAGCTAGGCAAAGAAAACGAAACTGCATTGTGATGAAAATATCTTCGGGTGAAGATTATCGAACAGATCACGAATACATTTAATGCCAATACCGATTTGGATAACAACTATATCTATTAATGATACATTCAAATGTGGCTATAACACGTTACATAGGGCACGTTGAAGCTAACCTTTCACATCATCATAACATTTTCGCTCCACGCATGGCCTTGACCGTTTCCCGTAAGAACCCTTCAATGCCTCGCATTGAGTCCTCACGAATGCATAGTGCTAGCATTAGCATTGCTTACAAGCAATGGCAATAGTGTCTATGCGTATATGTGCGCGTGTATCGGTGTCTTCCTATTCAAGCGGATTCTTTTAAGCCCAGTGGATCTACTTGGCTTCTAGGGCACGAAAGCTAATATATTTAAGTCCCGTTATATCAGGTGACCATTACTATGATATTGACCACTCGGTTATCACTGTCCAGTGGTCTAAGTGTACTCTATCCAGCGCACTTGCGGCGCCCGGCCTAGGGCACGGCAATCTAAGGCATAAGCAAATTACCATTTCTAGTAGTCACCAAAGAAAGTAAACACTTCTAGAACAATACGACCAATAAGAGCTTTTTTGCAGTGACCGAAACACCTAATAGCAACACCCCAACTATAAACCTTTTAGATAACAAAAAGCCGTTTTTAGAGTAAAATCGAATGCATTATAATATGGGTAGGAAGCTAAACGATATCATGATGATTAAGCGAGACGGCATTGAAAATGGTTGCATAACTATTAAAAAACCTTCTTTTTCGAACATCAGTCGAGGGCAAATAGATCAAGCTGAGACTGATCTAATATGTTCTTTTGTCGAGAACATATCGTTTTAAAGGGTTTTGCTCGTGACACTCAAAAAACGAGGTCTTCGTCGCCCAAATCGGCTTACCAAATCGATTACGGACTCAATTGGCACATTTGACATAGTAGTTGTTGCACTCCCACTGAATCATTCTACTCCAAGCGTATCAATCGTCATAGTCGCTTCTTATATACGAATATTATAGTGAAATAGGCATATTCGAACGTTAACACGACTCACGGATAACACGGTAAATGTCTAACAAGTGTTGAAAGATTATTGCATTCGTTTTCCAGCGCTGCCCGCGCAATTCGAGAATTTGCCACGACGCAAAGGAACGGCGGACCGATTTATTGTTATATAGAGATCTATTTATATTTTAAAGAGATGTATTTTTAAATCAAATCAATCAGCTAGCATCAGCCGACATTTTTCTGAATTATCTTACGAAATTACCATATATAACTTTCTAAGGCCATCATCGAAATAGGAAAAAGCTGTCCGTCGAAAAAAAATGCAAAGCTCCAAATTTAAATATGGCGGGCCGATATGACAAAACAGAGCAGATTTTTCGATTACATTTGGCGGCCCTGGAAGATTTCTGATAGTTTCGGGGTGATCAATTAGAACTAGTATTTTTCGACAGCCATCTTTTTAAGCCTGTATTTTTTTAATATTACTGCCTATAATTGAAAAGCAGATTTCCTCGCAATGGCCCCAGATTTATATGATGAATCAATTTCACGGTGGTTAAACGGCTCGCGATGTTTCGCAAGAAAATAGAACAAACTGTGTTTGTATTCGAATGAGGTTTATAGAATTGAAGAACTACACCAAGGCTCTGTTTTGTCTTGTTTTGCTGTTATAGTATACCGAAAAAAAGAAATCTAGTCATAGCCTTCGAAACGGTGCAGATGCATTACAGTTTGGCTGACCCTAATTCCTTCGCAAACCAACTTTGTCGCTGCACGTTCCTCGAAGCTCGAAGAAAATACTTCAATGTCAGGTCTTTATAGCTCCTTGTGAGAAAAAAAAATAAATAATAATATCGTAAAATTAAAAGAGGATTGTCCAGGCTAAACGGTCATCCTAGAGAATACCAATATTCATCTGTATTTCTGATGTGTGCAGCATATATGTATGTAATCATTACATTTTATAACGGCAAATTGTTGCGCTATGCAAACGCTGATAACATAATGTATATATTTCGGTCCGTTTGACACACCTACTTGGAATGCCTCTAATACCGAAAAATACGTGGATACATTTATAGCTTTCACTCGTTCATCTTATCCCTTTCTAGCAGCCAGAGGTAAGTTTTTGCAGTGAAAAATAAAGTACATATCACTGAGCAGATTCACAGGGTATAGGAGTGAAACGGACTCTAGCTACGACGCCTTTGACAATTGTAGCAATAGAGATGTGGTCCAAGAATACAAATGAAGACTATTGTTGAAATAACAGAGAACGTTGAGCTAAGTTCGTTCCACCTACCGGTTAGACGGTTAGATACCCAAGGTTTACCCATATCTAGTATTGTCATTATGACAATAATTGAGTCTTCTGCCTTTGCAGCTTATGCACGACCGACATACTGCCAATATCTTCTTCTGTCAGCATATCGCCGTTCCATTTCTCTAGCGGAACACAATCGCAAAATGAAATGCCCGTTCAAATTAAAAAGATTGCCTTATTTTTACGCTGGGAAAACGCATGGCGTGACGTCGCGTGCTCAGTATTGTTCGACTGTGACGAGTATAATCGACAGAAAACTGACCTTTCTTTGTCACAGGAAAAATCATTGACAGTCTTCCAGCATGTAATCTCTGGGGGATTGTACACATGTACTTTCTAGATAGTTTCTGCATAATCCTTCGTATTAGTAAAGTGAAGTATAATTGACCATTAAGCAAACCCGTTAATAGAGTTCGATTAATATAAAAAGACGTTTGAATAATGTAATAATAGTTATGTTGATATATGAAGAGTTACGATACATTATATTAGTATTAAACGCTGAGTACTTACGCGTAAAAAAACTGAGCTGAATTTATTCATTCTAGTAATTCTTTTAATTATCTCTTACTATGTGACATATAGTAAACGATGCGAGACAGCGCGCTTGTATCAGCTGTTGAATGAATAAACCCAATCAGCCTATACACCATTGGGGCCACAACACTCTGGAACGGAATGGCATCTTGTCTTCTTGAGACTTCGTCTAAACCCTGAACGTATTCATGCTGCTGGCTACATACTCATGTAGCCTATGCAGACAGCCAAATTTTATGATAGTGACTTTTTTAGAAGAGGTAGATCTATTGGGAAGCTCGTGTCAGGCATGTAATGGCCCTTTAGGCGACTTTAAGAACGATACTGTCCTGCATCGATAGACACACGATGCACATTCTGAGAATCATATATGAGACCACGGTAATTTGTTTTCTTCGTACTTCACCATGAAATCTTCATATCAGATTGCGTTAGTGTGAGCCTGGTGGCACCTTCCGAAGAACATATTCGACGTAGAAAAATCAGCATAAATTTCAGTAGCAAAAATTACAAGGCGTCTGAACAATCGTATAATAGTCGTTTTAATAAGTTACTAACTTTTAATATTTCATATAAATTTTTTTACAATATGAATTCAATGAAGGTTTTCTTTTTCTGAGTTGAATCTGATAGAAGACAGTAGTTCTTAAAGAAATCGTTTAATTATATATGTATCGCAGATTATTTCAAGTTGAAATCTAAGCTAGAATTACTAATATTAACCTAATCCAGTGTCTTACAAACTGCAACTTACAAGTTGAAACGTTTCTAAAACAATAATAATGATTCAATAATTTTTTAGAGTGCATTTTTGATGTACATAAATAGCCATGACGGTAATCTTTCTAGCCCTAAAGATGAACCTCATGAATAGTAAAATAAGCCGTTGATATGGGGATGCGTCAGAGTAAATCGACAGTTCGATCATGTTATTATCAACCTACATTAAGGTCATGGATTTTCGAAGTCTCTATTAAAAACAGGCTTTTATACCTCCTTTGTATACGATCACTATTTGTTGGCGAATTGAAGCGATCATCAAGGAAAAAATTCACTATTTTTTTTATGTATGTTTCAAATACCCAAACCTCTATTTAGTCAAAACAGATCCCATTCAGTTTGAAAATAAAGTAGGCAACGAATCAACGTGTCGTGACAAGATACACGGTTGGTGACTTCCATGATGCATATACCACACATCCGGTCAGCAGGATCTAGGGAACTATTTTCCCTATCGATGATGCGCAAGAATCTTTAGTCGATACTATTCCAGGAGATATTCGGCCACGCTTCCATTAAGCGCGTTAGCGCGCTCGTAAATGGCTGGCCTGATTCATCTGCATTTTCATACCTGCCATTTTTATGTAAGTTGCCTTTGATTGATTGTTATGTGTTCGTGATGTCGTGTCTACAGTGTCATTCACTTGCAGCTTTGCAACTTACCTGTTATGAATAGTATTTACTTTTTTGCTTTTTCTTAACTTTCCATTCAATTGAAAGTGTAATTATGTGAATTCTAACGAAGACATATACATTGCAGGCTTTTGTTAACGCCCCTGACTTTCCGATGGTGTAACAACCTCACGGCCTGAAAGAGCTTTTTATGTCGCACGCAGACTGTTGCTGTATTTTTACTGCAGCACCATTCGCATATATATGAAGGTTTCTGCCTTACCGCCGAGGAAACGGCTCTCTATTGTCCCGAAGAGTTTTGTACTCAAGACGTTTTAGTACGCTAACTAATGCAAAGACTAAACGATTTTTAGTCTGTCTAAAGATGAAACCCGATTTTCACTGTAGTAAAACTTTTGTTCAAGCAACTAAGTTCTTAATTGGTTCATTATGAATATGTGATTTTTAGTTTACTTCCCAAAAAAGGTAGCTGGGATTTCAGCCGGGCGGTGTCGACGAGCATTGCTACCGACTGTAAAACGGACTGGACTAAATCAAGGTCAAAAGTGGGCTTCCTGTACTATTGTCAGATAACTAGAGTTATATAGATTAGGTGCTGACGAATCTGCGGAACAGCACCCTGAAATCGCCATCTCTATAGATGCTGAATAAACGAATTACAAGTTGATATCTACACATCAATAAATTACAGTGGAACAATTTAGAAGAGACGCTAGTAAACATGGGGATGAATTCGGGCCGCAATGTCGTAACGTTTTGTTTTAATCTTCTGCTTGTGCTTGTTTCTTTTGTATCTACTAACATAAAACGTTTCATAAACTACCAGGAGCAAAAGTAAAAACACAAGGTAAACCATTGTCATGCGTTTATATTGTGTTTGCCTTGAAGCTTAGCACGTCCCCTTTCAAACTTCGTTTTCTTTCGAACATTTTGCCTGATTTCATTAGTACCCATTTTCTTGCGACCAAGTGATGTTAGCAGAAAATTGAATGTTCGACATTGTTTTTTTCACTACTTAGCCGCCGCTGGGAAACACACAACCGAAACTATGATGACTATATAAGCAGCTGGAAGCAGCAGCGTCTGATAGCGTTCATCGAAATTAATTTCATTTTTATATAGCTGAGGATCGCTAAAAGAATTAAAAATCACGCGCCGGACGGCTGTAAGGCGCGCATCACAGTTAAGCGCAGGTTTAGAATGCGTGAAAATGCGGCCTTATCGTTTCAAGAACTCTTTACACAAGTTGTCTATATGCACTAACGAATAAAATAAAAGCACGAGATATTTAAAAAAAAAAAATACCATTTATCTGTTGGCAATGAAAGCTGATTGATTTTGGACCGTGGTTTTTCACTAATTTTACCATTTGTGCATATATTGCATTATTATTAGTGTTTTTCTATTATTTGCCTTTACCAATCTAAGGAGCATCTTTATTTGTTCTTCCTTTATAAACCTTTAAAAATAATGCGTTTTCGTAACATAAATTGTGTAGATGCAGAGGCGAACAGCGACTGTATTATGGTTACATGTGATTTGCCGCGTATTTATGGCTAGCTGCTCTGTAACCGCACATCAAGTCCTGTCTGCGTTATCCGTTATATGTCTAGCTCTTAAACAATAAGGTTCAACAACAAAAGTTTCTACAAACTTCTAAGTCATCGTTCGAATATGCTTTTCCTATATGACCAAAGAATGGTGCGCTCTTACCAGCATGAACTTGGCTTTAAAATTGAGATAGGAAAAATCTCGTGATAAAAAATGTTTTAACAGAACTCAAAAAAATAGACGTCGTTCTATTACAGCTTTTCTTCCGCTGACAAACAAGAAGAAATGTCATTTG